GCTAACCAACTCATTTAATATATTCCTTGGTCATGAAGAAAAGAACCTTGAAACAGCTTTGACTTTGTACAGGGAATATGCTGATGAACTGTCATATTTGAGTTGTTAAGTTGAAGATTACAAGACAATATTGTTGGTTGAAACAAGTACCATTTCATCAGCAAGGTTCATATGAGCATATTGTAGCAAATTAGACACTCCCTTGGTTGAAAAAGACTTGTCCTTAATTCCTTGTTTGTTTCGTCAACATGATTGTGAAAAAGACTTAAATCAGCAATATTAAATATTGGGGACACTCCATAATCTTCAGGTAGCTCGATCTTATAGGCGTTTTTGCCAATTCTCTTAAGCACTTTGAATGGACCATCAGCCTTTGGTTTTGATTTTCCAAATTTGCTCGGTGGAAACCTCTCCTTCCTTAAATGAATCCAAACCAAATCACGAATATTAAACTTCATATGTTTTCTGTGTTTATTGGCAACTTCTATGTACCTCTCATTTTATTTTTTTCTATATTTTCTTTAACACCCTCATGTAGCTTCTTTATCTGCTTTACTCTTTTATCAGCATCTCCACTAAATTGCTTAGTTGTGGAATGGGGGACAAAGTCTAAAAGACCAGTAGGATTAGCACCATGAACAACCTCAAAAGGACTCTTACCCATACTATGATACATAGAACGATTGTAGGCAAACTCAATTTGTGGAAGAATGAGATCCCACAGCTTAATATTCTTACCAATATAGCTTCTAAGCAAATTCTCAAGCTTTTGTTCGTTACCTCAGTTTGCTCATCTTTTTATGGATGATACGAGCTGCTGAAATTCAAAGAGGTACCTAGCTTCCTCCAAAGATATCTCCAAAAATGACTAAGAAATTTTGTATCTCGATTAGACACCATAGTTTTGAAATACCATGCAATTTAACAATCTCCTTAAAATACAAATCAACAATATGAGATGCATCATTCGATTTATTACAGGGAACAAAGTGAGACATTTTTAAAAATTTGTCAACCACAACCATGATAGAATCCTTGTTCCTTTGAGTTCTTGACAGTCCCAAAACGAAATTAAGACTTACCTCCTTCCATGGAGCATTTGACATAGGCAATGGAATGTACAATCCAGAATTTTGACTTCTTATTTTTGTCAAATGACACACTCAACATTGCTTTACATGTCTCTTCACATCTTAGGCCAATAGATGTTTGACTAAACTAGAGCTAGAGTCTTGTCTCTACCAAAATGTTCACTCAAAACATCATTGTGAGCTTCAGCTAGAATTAGTTGTCTCAAAGAACCAGATGGAATACATAAAGTATTAGCTCGAAAAAGAAAACTATCAAAGATGGAAAATTGTTGAAAGGAACCTGATTTACAATTCTACCATATTGAGCTAAAATCTATATCATTCTTATAGAGATATTTGAATGTTTCAAATCCAACCACTTTGACTTCCATTATTAATAATAAAGAATGCTTTCTGCTCAATGCGTCAGCAACTACATTTTGAACACCAGATTTGTGCTTGATTGTAAAGTTATTAGATTGTAAAAACTCCACCCAAGTTGCATGCCTCTTATTTAGCTTGTGCTAGTGATTAATGAACTTTAATGCCTCATGATCAGATAAAGCTCGATAAATGGCATAAAACTCATTGTCATGGGTAGAATATTTCTTTCTCGTATCATTTAGCTTTTCACTAAAAAATATAATGGGCTTTCCGTCTTGACTCAAAACAGCACCAATTCCTACATTAGATGCATCACATTCAACCTCAAACACATTATCAAAATTTGGCAGAACTAAGGTAGGATATTCGGTCACCTTTCTTTTTAAAAGCTCAAAAGCATCATTAGCCTCACTAGTCCATTTGAATTTATCACATTTCAGACATTCGATGATTGGAGCGACAATAGAGCTAAAACCCTTGATAAATCTTTTGTAAAAGGAAGTTAAGCCATGGAAACTCCTCACATCATGCAACGAAGTAGGTGTTGGCCAATTAAGAATAGCTTCTACCTTACTTTAATCCATCATGATTCTATCTTTTTGAAACAACATACCCTAAAAATACAATATTAGAAGTAAAGAAATCACACTTCTTTAAATTAACATAAAGCTTTTGCTATCTCAAAATAAAAAAGATCTCTTTAAGATGAGTCATATGTTCTTCTTCAGTCTTGTTATATATCAATATATCATCAAAATAAACTACAACAAATATTCCAATGCATGGCTTAAGTATGTGATTCATAAATCTCATGGAAGTGCTAGGAGCATTAGATAGCCCAAATGGCATAACCAACCATTCATATAAGCCTTCTCTAGTTTTAAATGTTATTTTTCACTCATTTCCAAGCATCATTCTTATTTGGTGATAGCCACTCCTCAAATCAATTTTAGAAAAAATAGAAGCATCACATAATTGATCAAGTAAATCATCTAACCTTAGAATAGGAAAACGATAGTCCACTATGATTTTGTTGATTGTGCGACTATCCACACACATTCTCCAAGAAACATCATTCTTATGTACCAACAAGGTTGGAACTACACAAGGATGTTAGGAACAAGTCGGCACTAAGAAGGGGGGGGGGATGAATTAGTGCAGCGGAAAGATTACGTTGGTTTAAAAATCTTTCGTACGATAAAATCGATTTTGGAAAGATACTTGAGATTGAAAGCATACGGAAGAGCGTAGTGGATGTAAATCAAGTAAGTTTGCAGTAAAGATAAATTACACAAATAGAAATGCAAACCGAGTTTTATAGTGGTTCGGTCGTCGTGACCTACATCCACTCCGTCGAGGCCATCGGCATCCACTATCGATCTTCCTTTAATAGGCAAAGATTAACCTCCTTCTTACACCCCTCTTCTCCTTTTCACAGGTTTAGGAGACAACCTTTATAAGCATACATTCCTCTCTAAATAGAATTCTAAGTTTAAGCTAGAGGAGGGGATTTCTCAAGAGATTTCTACAGTGTTTTCTCACTTTTAAACTCTTTATGCTTGTGTATCTTAACTAGGGATGAGAGGGGTATTTATATGCTTCAAGTTGATTCAAACTTGGAGCCTAAAAACATCTCATCTCGGGTTTCTTGGGTACGAGCGGTACCACAGCCTATGTTGGGTGGTACCACCGCCAGTGTCAATCTGACACTGACATTGCACTGGGCGGTACCACCGCCTGACAGGGGCGGTACCATCGCCCAGACCACCTGGGAGACTGAGTCTCTCAATCGGTGCCACCACCGGCCAAGCTTTCAGCATCCTAGTTGGGCCTTGAATCCATCCCAACTTCGGTCCTAGTTGGCCCCTAACAGAGTTGATGAGATTACCTTCCAATCCCAACTCCAATTATGTGCTAACTACGATTCCTAAGACATATTCTAAGCAAAATAAGTCTGATTTCTTCCGGCGAGCTTCCGGCGATCTTCCGAAGATCTCT